GCGGTGCCTTGGCGTACGCTTCGAAGGGCTTTCGGAACGTCCTCGATTTTTGAGGTGTGCTTGGGCTGGGCGTCTGGTCGGGTAGAGGGCTTGCAGACCTCGTCGTCGGTCGAAAATCGGAGGGAAGCACCTCGACGAAGTTGGACGGAAACACGCCCACAGTCCGCCTGTCGCGCCATAATCTGCCTGTCCACCATGAACCATCGCCGGCATTGAGACATTCAATCAAGTCGCCCTCGATGAAGCCGAGGTCTCGCTTGCTCTGTCGTGAGAAAAATAAAGTCAGCCATTGGGAGCGCGTGTGGTAAACAACTACTTCTGTTTACAGACCTCTCCTCCCCATGAGTAGACAGCCCTGCACCAGCACGGAAACCGCATCGGCAGAGGCGGCGGTGCTGGCACCATCTTGGCACTTTGATTTCAAGATGCCGGTTGTCGAGTGGTGGGCGATCAGTCGGTGGTCGATGTCGCGGAGTTCGGTTGCTGTTGCGGTTGCGGTTGCGGTCGCGGTGTCCAGTACACGGCTCGTGCTGGATTAGGCTTATCTGACGCGATCGTGTAAGTTGCGACGGGCAGTGGGCGCCATACAGCAGGGCGCGCGCAACAAGACGAAACTGGCTCAATCGCGGAGGAGGGGAATGACGACGAAGTTTCAAGCACCCGTAGCGAGACGAAGCGAGGACGGGGCTTGGAGGTCTCGTGGGAAGTTGGCTTCGGACGAGGTGAGGAATGCAGCGGTTTTCGCGTGCACGTCGACAATGACCTTGTTGGAGTGGGTAATCAGGAAATCGGAGTTGACGTGAGATGGCAAAGGCAAACGAGCCTGAAAGTCGGACACAACTTCCAAGAAGGGGATGCGGTGAATGTCAGTGCCAGCCGGGGTGCGGACCCGGGGCAACCAACAAACAGAGGGGCTCGTCGGCGGGGCAACGACTCCAAACACCACAAGCGGAGGCAGAGGCTGGCCAACTGTGCGCCGGGGGGAGCCCCACCCGCGGCCATGGGTCCTATCAGGACGCGGTAAAGTCGCAGCAGGCGACAAGCTTGTAACGGGTTGCGACCTCCTGTGCGGCTGGCGCATCTCCACCGTCGACTAGCGGATCCCGCCTGGCGAGCAGCGCTAAGCTCCATCAGTGCGGCCTCAAGCCTGGAGTCGCAGCATCTGTGCCCCCCGGAACCTTGGTCTTGGTCAGTCACCGCCTGCGATGCCGTGCAAGGTACGACGGATACCCGACAAGATTGCTGGGTTCCCAGGGTTTTGCTGACGGTATCGCTCCCTTGACGTGGGACTTTGGAGAGCCGTCACTCGCTGAGATACGCCCCGGTCCCTCCCTCCTTGCCTCGCCCTTGCAGATTGTCCCGCCTCAAGTTCCTGTCTCCCAGCAGCCAGCGCCAGCGAAGCCAACACACCAGAGGGTCAACCTTGGGAAGCCACTGGGTCACAGACGACGCTACCGATGGGCCCTGCATGCCAACTCAACGACTAGACGACACTGGGCCATCTAAGGTATCTGCAAGGCAACCTGTCTGCATACTCTGGATACTCTATCACCGGCCTCGACCAAGAACAAGACGCCAAGCACACATTCAGAGCGACGTAAAGAGGGTCACGTTCACTGTCCACTGGCATGCAAACGACGCAAGCACACGACAGTCGGCCCCTTCTCGTAGGTCACAATCACATTTCTCTGCCGTCGACATATCTTGCTTTTAACCTACCTTACATCCATCAATCCACCGCTCCCACACTTCCCGCCTTTTCTCTCTGCACTTTTTCCCTTTCTTTTGTTTGCGATTCACGATGCTTCAGAAACAACGGCTTCCCACCGGCACTTTTTCGTTTGCTTTTCTGTATCAAGATCGGCTGACTCGCCCCGGCTCCTAGAACCCTGGTGCTAAATTGCGGTTCCCCGGAGCTCCCCCAGCTATACCAAAACGGAAGAAAGTAAACAAAAGGGCCCGAGCTTTGCGACGACCCAAGCCCACAGAACCACCACACAACCGCAACCACACCGAGGAAAAGAACACACACAACCCGGCCACAAGACACAACACGTACCGCAGAGAGAGCACGGCGTCGTTGACTACCGTACCTGGACCTGGTCCTCGCCCGCCCTGGCCCTGGGATACCCGAACCAAGTCGCTGCTCTCCCAAGCAACCCCAAGCAACCGAGCCACCGACGATCCGCTTGCTTCCTTTGACGCCATTATTGCCTTTGTCCAGTCTAAAATACAAGCCAGGCCGTCCTGACTGACAGACGACAGCCCCGTTCCCTGGATACCCTTTTCTTCTCTCGAAACTTTCTTCCAGCACCATCCTGCAAGCGCAAACCTCTCGCTCCCTCACCTCCCTCCGTTCTCGGGCTCCAGGGTTGAACACCAGCTCCTCCCTCTCTCTTGCTCCATCTCTGCCGGCGGAATCGATTGAATTGAGAGTATCAGCGTCGCCATGACGTCCAGATCGGCCGCGATGGCCGACGAAGGCGTCGCCGAACATTATCAGGTCTTGGAGGAGCTTGGTCGTACGTTGTCTGAATACCGGCGAATATTTTGTGCATGCGCGCTGACAGGACTCTAGGTGGTAGCTTTGGAGTCGTTTACAAGGCCATTGAGAAGGCCACCGGCGAGACCGTCGCCATTAAACATGTGAGCCACCCCCATATTTACATCCTGATGAATGTCGCTAACCCGCGGATGCGCAGATTGATCTCGAATCAAGCGAAGATGACATCCAGGAGATTCAAGGCGAGATCGCAGTGCTCAGCACTTGCGCAAGTTCATTTGTTACCCAATACAAGGGCAGTTTCCTTCGCGGTCACAAGCTCTGGATCGTAATGGAGTATCTTGGCGGTGGCTCATGTCTGGACCTGGTATGTCACTCCGAGTCGCAGCTTATCCTTATCGACTAAGCTAACATTCCTCAGCTCAAACCAGCCAACTTCGCCGAGGTCCACATCGCAATTATCTGCCGAGAGCTTCTCCGTGGTCTCGAGTACTTGCATGCCGAAGGCAAGATTCACCGAGATATCAAGGCTGCCAACGTCCTGCTTTCCGAGTCAGGCAAGGTCAAGTTGGCCGACTTTGGTGTCGCTGCCCAGTTGACCAATATCAAGTCCCAGAGGAACACCTTTGTCGGAACCCCTTTTTGGATGGCACCCGAGGTCATCCAGCAGGACGGTTATAGCTTCAAGGCAGACATCTGGTCACTCGGTATCACCGCTATGGAAATGGCCAATGGTGAGCCTCCTCTGGCCCATATTCACCCGATGAAGGTTCTTTTCCACATTCCCAAGAACTCTCCTCCCCGTCTGGAGGGTGCCTTCAGCAAAGACTTCAAGGACTTCGTGGCGCAGTGTCTCGTCAAGGATTCCGACCGCAGACCATCCGCAAAAGATCTCCTTCGCCACCGCTTCATCAGGTCTGCCGGCAAGATGGAGGCTCTTCAGGAGCTGATTGCGCGCAAGCAAATGTGGGACGCAAACCAGAACCGAAAGTCGCACACCATTTTCTACCAGGAAACACTTAACACCATCTCTGCTAAGGACGACTCGGATGAGTGGGTGTTTGACACGGTCAAGTCGATGGCGCCCAGGCGGCCAACTGTTCGGTCTCGGAAGCCGTCCTACTTTGCGGCGGAGGAGGCCATGCGCCGCCTCGACCTCAAGGACGCTCCGCTCGGTCCCTCGTCTCCCGCTTCCGGTACAGTGCGCCGGTCGACTGTGCGCCGCCAGCCCTCGAGTCGTCAAGCGTCTGCCACACAGATCCAAGCAAACGGGTCGCCTCGTTCTACCGTCGCGAGAAGACCGCTCCAGCCAGACATGTCGTACGGCAACTCTGGTTCTTCCGTACGACTGTTCCGCCGGGTGCCCTCAAATGGCTCCGTCACTGATCCGACGGATTTCTCTGAGTCGGGTGACACCGCTGCTGGGGATGAGAACAGAGCACCGATGAGAGGCGCATGCGTAGAGCCAAACAGCAAAGAGGGCATGTTGGGTAGGCGGTTGTTCAATAAGGCCATCGATCCGACACTCGCAGAGCTGCACGCGCAAACGTCAGGATTGCAGAAGCGGGAGGCACTGGCCAAGCTTACTGATGCCTTCGCTCTCCTGGACTCGGTCGACCCTGAGGGAGCCTACCATGTGATGCGTAACTTGATGTCGGCTGTCTCTCAAGACTCAAAGCTGAACACGGCATTGATTCCTCAGCAGTCGATCAAGATTCCATCGGATGGCACACCGCAGGGCACCGTCATCATCAAGAGCGCCGCAGCAACACCGTCATCTGGCGGTAGCCCCAACAAGTTGGTGCTTGCACCGAACAACCCGCATTTGAAGAGCCATAGGAGGCGCAACGGCTCGTTTGCAACGCCCGAGTCGACCGAGAAGGAGAAAGAACGAGAGAAGGCAGCCGTGGAGGCCAAGTATCCAGGCCGCCCAGCTCGACCTGGTATGGAGCATTGCAATCAGCTTTCAGACGTGCTCTACGGCAGGTGGACTGAAGGTTTGAGAATCAGATGGCCAGCTGTCTGAAACTGGCTACAAGATGGGCTACGGGCCCGAAAAAGATGGCAGAGAGAGGTGGCATATCATTATTCACGAGAAACGCTGTATGATGAGAGTGTATGACCACGTCGCAGCATGCGGGTTTGAACAGTACACAAAAGCATTGGAGGAGAGTTATCAGTTCAGCATCGGGAAAGTTTTTGACATTCGGGAGATTGAGATACCGAGATACCGGGATTGGATTTCGACGACGCAGATGGATGGACTCGGCCACGTGGCTCTCATGACTGATGATATCTACATGGCTGATCCGGGTTTGTCTTCGTCGCATAGGGTGGCGTTTTGGTTGTTTGTGATTTCGTGTTTCGGCAGTAGGTAGATACCTAGGTAACGTCAAGGTCTTGACCCAATAGAATAATCGCGCGAAGTCGAGTGTTCCGATTCATGCCTTTGTAGTGAAGGGGGTTGTGATGACTGGCCCTCGGTCTGTGACTATGACTATGGTTCCGGCTGTGGTTCATCCTCTGGTTCTGGCTCCGGGGCGGTGCTCTTCATGGAGAGCTTGATTCTCCAGTTGATGAACTCGTCCGTCAGAATCTCTCCGTGCCCGGCCTCCTCGATTCTAAACACCTCTATCATAGGGCTCCCGGGCCGCCTGCGTATCCTCCAGACCCCGTCATCGTTGACAGTCTGACGAAGCCCTGCATGCGTTAATAATAGATCTCTCTGTGACATTTGAGGGGAAACACTCACAAACAAGGAACTCGGCCGCAAAGTTGACACACATATCCCCGTTCCAATTGGCCCGTCCGCGTCTCTGTACCGTATCCGGGATCTTCTCCGTCTCAATCTCATCGACGCTGGTCAACATGCCGTCGCGGCTGCGGAACCCGACAATGATCTTGGGCACGCCAAGGAGAAAGCTCTGAATCCAGAACTTCATCAGCTTGCGGTGGAAGTTATCCACGTCGCGCTCGTCGCGGATGGCGAGGCTGGTCTTAAGCTCGACCCAGTTCGTGGGAGCGCCCTGCTTGGCGGGCTTGGAGTCCCAGACGGCGTCGACCTCGCCGCCAATGCAGATGGTCGTGGCGCCGATGCCGGTGCGCACGACGGAGCAGTACTGCGCGTTGTTGTTGACGATCTCACGTGGACGGTTCTCGATGTATGCTCGCGGGGTATCACCCCAGGGCGCCGGGAGGGTGGCGAGCGTCTCGAATTTGTAGCCCCAGAACTGCATCACCTCGGGCGGGATGGGGCCGCGGCGCTGTTGAGCGTTTTGCTTTGCTTGGGAGGCGACTTTGTATTCGTGGTTCTCTTCGATGAAGCTGGGAACGGGGTTAGTTAAGGGGTTTTGGGGCTGGGTGTGGTGTATCGTACATGCAGTCCTGGGTTTGGTTAGCTTTCAGCTCAGATGATGTTTTCGAGGGGCTTGTGAGGTACTTGGTATAGTGTTGCGTTCATCTCGAAGCTGTGTGAACGTCAGTATGCCTCCCATGAAGATGAGTCTCTGCAGCAACTGACCCGTCTCGGTCTTCAAAAGGCGATGCCATGATCTGAGATCTGGTTAGTGGCTTGATATTAGAGGGAATAGGGGCTAGGTATTACCTTGGTCATCATACCACGCCATGTGACGATCTGAGCGTCAATCTTCTGCCCCGTTTCTTCTTCGTGAGCCTTAATGGTCTTAAGTAGACTGCCGAGGTGCTCGGCCTTAGAGTCATCATGCTTGATGAAGCTGTCGTAGCCATCTGAGAGGTCGACTCCTAAGGGCGGCGTGTAGTAGTATCTCAGTGACGAGTCGCCCAGGTGGAATTCGTGATTATCATCGTATGAGAAACATGCAAACTCCTGAATATATTGTCAGAGACGATCCCAATGGGGCGGAATCATCGGGAAACGAGTCCGTCAGATATGAGCCTGAAAATCCAATTTACTACTCACTTTTGGCCGTTTGACTGGCTGACTGGCGCCATAAAAGCGCCCAATAGGCTGGATAGAGAATTCATTCGACATGATGATGAAATTTGTTGGGGTCCTGCTATAGTATCATCGAGAATTTGAATAACCCGATTCTTATATCAAGCTTCTTATATCTAAGAACTTGAGATGAATGACATTCGGTCGGGTGTGCCGGTCGCACCGTGAGTGTCGGGAGGTGTCAACGGAGCATTGCGGCGCGTTCACGCGGTTGGTGGGGGCAGGTGGGATGAGTGAACAATCCGGGGGTGGTGGGGACCTTAGCTGACCTCGACCACTGAAGCGAACCACTAACAGGCCTGGACGAGACCCAGACAGCAGTGAAACGTGCATGCGGATGGCTGGACTGGAGGCACCCGAGCCCCTAGCTGCAGCTGCACGGCCAGCACCTCGATGTCCGCCTTGGCTTTGCCCAATTCAACCACATTTCGACATTCCAAGAGCCGCTTTTCGAGATACGTCGCGACAACAACGGCTACAATCGCCCTCGTACGCCTTTGATAACCCGATATACCCTCGATACCTCCAATCCCGACGACCGCGATGCGAACCTATCTCCGTCCAACCGTATAAAGCGCCCAACTACCACATCCCTCAGAATGTCGAATCGGTACGGCGGCGGCGCCTATCGCAACGGCAACGGCTATGGCAACTTTGGTCGCCGCGAAGAACCTCAAGACTACGATCCCTACGCCAACGGGTATGGCGGCGACAGGGACAGAGACAGAAGCGACCGCTACGCCGTTGGCTCCCCGCCGATGAACCCGCGATCACCATCCAACTTCCGAAACCCAGGTCCCCCGCCCATGCGCAGCCGCGAGCGCATCCAAGAGAGCAACGCCGAGCGCCAGATCGGCCAGGTCCTCGAGCACATCAAGCAAGAATGGCCCGCCATGTGTCAAAACGACTGCGTTCCCGTCCAGCTCGCACTGCAGCTCCTCGACAGCAGCTCCGTCGGCCGTGCCCACGACTACCGCAAGTTCACGGAGGCGCACAGCTACGTTGAAGACTCCCTCAAGGGCATCGTCCACGAGCACCATCAGGGGTTCAACAGTTCCATAGGAACGTTCCACAAGATCCAGGGCAGCATTCAAGCTTCGCAGAAGAAGGTGCGCACGCTGAAAGAGTCGCTGCTGACGTCCAAGGTGAGCCTGTGCACGTCGGACCCGGAGCTTAAGAAGCTCTCGGCCGCGTCGCAGGCTTACGACGAGCTGCTTACGACGCTGAACGAGCTGGAGGAGTTGAGGCTGGTACCGGATCAGTTGGAGGCGAGAATCTCTGAAAAGAGGTTCCTGAGTGCGGTGGAGGTATTGCAGAATGCGCTGCGGAAGCTGCGTAAGCCTGAACTGGATGATATCGGGGCCCTGAGCGAACTACGGGCTTATCTAGCCAACCAAGATGGGGCTCTCATGGATATCCTGGTGGAGGAACTCCACGAGCATCTATACCTCAAGTCGCCGTACTGCCAGGAAAGGTGGCAGAATTTGGCAAAGACACAGGGTGCTTTCAAGGACGGTAACTACGAGGCGATTACGATTGCCCCTTTCCACCAAATACTTGACGCCATGGACTTTGAGGGGAAGACGGCCGAGGATCCGGCTAAGAACCCAGAAGCCGATACGTTCTCGTATGTGTCGCTACTGGTGGAGTCTTTGAACAAGTTGGGAAGATTGGAGACGGCCGTAGACACCCTCAAGCAGAGGTTGCCCGTCGAGCTCTTCACCATTGTCAACGAGACTCTCAACGAAGTCGACCAGAGGCACCCCAGCTCGCTTCGCGGCGGCTCTACCAATACCCAAGGGCTTCACATTTACGGCAACCGCGAGACTCAGATGAGGGCTGACGTGATATACGACCTGCTCTGGACGCTCTTCGGCAAGTTCGAAGCGATTGCAGAGGGCCACCGCGTCTTCCACGAATCGATCAAGGCGCTCATCCGTAGGGAGGGTGCTGGAAACAACAGTGCCTTGTTGGGAAGCTTTAAGGAGCTGTGGAACTTGTATCAAAATGAGATCCGTTCTCTACTGCACAACTACGTCACAACGGACGCCGATGTCTTCCAGTTCAACTCGTCGCCCAAGCCTGGCGCCAACATCAACGGCAAAAAGGATGCTTCTAGGGAGAATCTCTTCAAGTTTGCCGAAGGTGACCCCAAGGCGGTGGATATGACAACGGAGTACGAAGCTCTCGAGGGCATTATCCGCGCTGCTGTTCCCGGCTTGACCGACACGTCCCGCAAACCTGGCGCCGATAAGAAGCGAGCGGCAATGGACGGCGTCGGCTCCAAGAGAGGCACCACTGCCGGCTGGGAGAATAAGCAAACACAAGGAACCTACAAGTCCCTCGTCGAACCCAGCGTCTTCAACATGAGTCTGCTGTTACCGCCTACCTTGGTCTTCCTCCAAAGACTCAAAATGATTGTCCCGCCAGGCTCCGACCTCGCCACCAGCACTCTGACGTCGTTCCTGGATAATTTCCTCGTCAACGTCTTTCAACCTCAGCTCGACGAGACGCTCGGCAAGCTCAGCGACACCATCTTTGGAGAAGTTGATTCTTTTATCCAGGACCAGGAATGGACCCAGGTTGCCAGGCGGCCCGTCTTCAAGGGCACCACGGCCTTCTTCGCCGTTGTCACTGCTTTCTGCCGCATGCTGAGCACGATCCCGCACGACCAAGCTCTCAGCACGCTCATCATCACCCAGATGATGCGCTACTACGACCGCTGCTTCGGCTGGTATAAGTCTCTCGTCAGCAGAACCCAAGTACAGGCTGGCGAGCCCACGAAGCTGCGCATGTCAGCAGGCATGGCTTTGGAGGAGGGTGATGTCCACGAGACCATGAAGCAGCTGTGGACCTCTGACGCTCTCGAGCGCGAGCTCTTGGAGAAGGAAGTTGGTCTGCTCATTGTCCAGACAAATGAGAAGCGCATGGAGCTCGCAGACATCATCACAGATAGGGACACAGTCTCCTCTCTCTGCCTGCTGTACACTAGCATGAAGTGGCTTGCTGTCAAGATCTCAAGCCTGCGACACATCACTCGCAATGACGCAGACTCCTCCCGCCCGGCCCTGAATAGGGGCTCAAGCAAGCGTTGGACTCTCATGAACGACCCCAGCAAAGCTACAAACGAGGATGGGCCGGTGTACCTCCCAATGACACAAGAAACAGTGCAGTAAGTTTTCCGCCTTGCCTCCTGATGACATACGCTGACCCAAAACAGAGCCTTCGACGGCATAGTCTCCTCCTTTGAAGAACTGGCCGGCACAGCGCTCCTGACCCTCCACATGGAGATCCGCACAGAGATCATCTACTCACTGCGCACCGCCCTCTCCCCCGACAAGGCGCCCTACCTCCTGGACCAAGAAGTTACGGAGCCAGACCCGGAGATTCTCAAACTGAACTCGGACCTCATCCTCTACGACGAGACGATCGCAAAGTACCTCCGCGCAAAGGAGACGGCCTTCATCCGTACCGGCCTCGGCCTGCTCATTAACGCGTACCTGGTCACCAACGCCGCCTTCGTCTCGCCCATGAACGCAAAGGGCTGCGGGCGCATGCAGCTCAACATCCTCGTCCTCCAGCAGAACCTGAAGAACGTCGAGGAGGGCGTCGACCTCGGTCGCGCGTCAAACTACTTTGCGCTCTTCGACAAGGGCCCCGACGCCATCGTCGACAAGGCGAGGGAGGACAAGGACAAAGACGAGCACGCCGACGCCAGCGACACCTTTACGTACGAGGAGCTGAGGACTCTGCTCGAGCTTTGCTTCAGCGAGCAGCTCGCGAACCCGGAGCGTGGCATCGCGAGCGCTGCCAAGAGGCAGATGGCGGACAAGATGCTGGGGCTTAGCGAGTACATGTGGCAGAGCTAATGGAGTTCTTTGTCAAGCGGGATAAGAGGTTAGTTTTGTTTGGCGAGGAGTTCAAGGGTGCAGTATGTCAATTATAGACAAGAGACCACGGCCACAACATCTTTCTGAAGATTTTTTTTTCTCTCGTTTTTTTTTTCGCGGGGGGTATTATTCTTTGTTGTAGTCTATAGCTATCTCTTCAATGCCAAACTTTTCCCAACCACTTATACACGTAAATCAATATTTTGGTTCGCAACATACCTTTCTACACACCTTCCTAAGACGAAACGAGATCCCTCCCCCTGTTGATCTGCACCTTCTTATCCTCACCACCGCTAACAATGCCCCAGCTCTTGTCCCACGCCAGCCCGAACACCTTGGCGCCCTCGCCGCCCATCGGCACCTTCTTGCCCTTGAGCCACTCGCGGGAGATGGTGTACACGGCCTCGCTGACGCTGCCGCCGCCCTCGTCCTTGGTCGCGGGCCGCACGCTGCGCAGGTCCCAGATCTTGACAGTGCCGTCGTGGGACGCGGAGGCGAGCGAGTACTCGTTGTCCGGGCTCGGCGCAAGCGCGGAGACCATGTTGGCGTGGCCGCGCAGCGTGAGCACCGAGGTGGCATTCGCGGAGGCGCGGGGGTCGAGCAGCGTGACGTGGCGCGCGGCAGAGCCGGCGGCGACCAGAGACGAAGCGCCGCCCATGGGCGCGAGGCAGAGCAGCGGGTGCATCGTGGTGAGGGTGCTCACGACGCTGCCGTTCGTCAGGTCGAGGGTGCGCAGGGTGTGGTCGGTGGAGGCGGAGTAGGCGACGGTAGGGTCGGAGGGGTGGAAGGCGACGGCGGTGGCGGAGGAGCCCTCGTGGGCGGGGATCATGGCCTTCGCGCCGCGCTGGGGGACGGAGACGGAGGAGCCGGCGACGGTCTTTGCGCGCTTGGCGGGGAGGTCGTCGGCGTCGACCTCGGGGGAGTCCTTCTTGGAGGCGGCCCAGAGGCCGACGCGGCCGTCGGCGGAGGCGGTGAGGAGGCGTTTTGAGGGGCCGTGGACGGCGAGGGAGTTGATCATCTTCTTGTGGCCGTGGAGCTCGAGCGTCGGCTTGAGGTCGCCGGAGAAGCGGTCGGCGGACTCGGTGTACTTCCAGAGGATGAGCTTCTGGTCGAGGCCGACGGAGGCGAGCTGCGTCGACGAGAGGA